AAGATTGTTTCCGTTATAAAAAACCCATTGTCCTTCATGCAGTAATACTTATATTTTCTTTTATCCTTCTTCAAAGACTAAATGTAATCTGAGACATCCCCCAGGGAATGAAATTTACAGGAAAGGGACCATCTCCTTCTTTGAAATAGATGGACGTAAAAACAAGGTAAGTGCATTCTTCTTATGTAAACCTAAGAAAGTATTTGCAACTGTCTGGCTATTTAGCCTAATGGCACACTGCAAGGGTTTTTTTTTAGCAATCTCACTTGACAGTAACATCAGATAGCTTTTCCTCCTCAAGGCAGTGATACTTACCGAGCCATGTCCTCACTAACAAAACGTGGTCTGTCGGTGAGGGAGCACGGGACCTCCCCCCATGTGACAGTGTTTGGGCCTAAGAGGACAATCGGGGGGCCTGAACAATGTCACATTGGGAAGCCCATGATGTCTTTTCTGTGTTTGAGTTTGAGTTGCTGCAGCGGAAAAGCTGTGAAGTAGCGTGGCTGGGTAAGTATAAAAGCCAGGGGGGTGATGTAAACAGCTTTCTGCGCTCCCTGTCATTTTGTTCTGTTGGGCACAGTGACAGAAGTAAACCACTATTGAAACGTTCGGTTTTTGCTCCAATGTGCACAACATACTTGCACATTAGGGCACACTTACCTTTTCCCTGTCAGATTGATCTTCAGTCCTCAGTTCTGTCCCCCGCCACCGTCAACACTTCTGGGTTCCTGTTTGGCCATTGAGTGGCCACTGATGGTATAACGGATGGCACAGGAGTTACATCCTCCCCGACACCCAGCCCATTCACTGCATCTTCAAGATACTGTAAATGGACTAAGCGTGTACACTGCGTGGTGGCTGCGCCATAGAGTGTACACAAAAAAATAGAAAATTGCCGGGGGAGAAAGGAAGAATTGTATTTATTTTTTTGGCAGAAGACTTTGCATGTCTCTTCTGGCAAAAATCCCCACCTCCAAGCAATTTTTTATTTTCCTGACTTTACTTCCACTTTAAGGAGTGCTGTCATGAAGAATGTGTAGTAAGTGCCGTTTTTAATTATTATTTTTTAAAAGATTTTGACAGTTTAAAGGAGAACTATGAGGCAAGTGAAACTGTCACACGTCGGCTCAATAGATCGGGAAGTGAGCGAACACATACCGCCACTCGCTCACAGCTCCCTGCAGGGATTACCCCCGGCTGCGGCGGCGGTATACTGAGCTTTGGGTGACGGGAGGATGCTAGTTTATGTCCTCCTGAGAGTTTGCAGGAAATGAAATGCTAAGTAAATCAGTGAATTGATTTTGAGTCTTGTCACTTTTCTCCATCTCTAATGTACTATTCACTCTTTTTCTTTGATTACAGAGTTATTCACAGAATTTGTGCCTTTTGGCAAAATGCTTTTTGGACCACAAAACCTTATACTATGACACAGATCCCTTCCTCTTTTATATCATGACTGAATACGACTCGAAAGGCTTCCATATTGTTGGCTACTTCTCTAAGGTTTGTCTCATTTTAAGCTATGAAGCTATGTGGACGGCTACCTTTGTAATGTCTATGGCTACCTTTAGCTGATAGAGATACATATTTACCATATGTTTTAACTGAAGGTTTTTGTGCATTTTCTCATTTCCGTAGGAGAATAAACATTGAGGACAGAGTAGTACAGGATTTCCTAAAGGGATTCACTAACTGTTAGAAAAAAAGAGAGATCAACACGTGAAATAGCATCATAACACACCCCAGTGCAAAGAAAAAAGCTTTTTTTAATAGTAGAGACTGAAGCACTTCATGGCAGCCAATCAGATTTCACCTTTTTCCTAATGCGATTACAGGAAAGTGAAATTGTATTTAGCAAGTGATCATTATCCAATGAAATGTGGATTTAACTACATTTCAACTCCACAATGTCTGTAAACTGCAGCCATACTGTATCTCACCATGATGCTGAGCAAGTCTGAAGCAGAAAAAAACAGTAATGCAAATTCAGTTTTTCTTTTTTCTGCTTGGTTAAAGCTGTGCTATCAGTCAGCACTGTCATGCATTGTGGTACACGGTGTTACAAGAAATAGTGCATGAGCTTTTTTGTGCTTTAGTTAGCCCATTCAGATAAATGGGACAGAAAGCGGAAGAGTGCAGAACAAAGCAGATATCAGAGTCCATAAATAAGTTCAATATTTGTATTGATCAAACAGCCAACGCATTTCGTGTGCAGACACAACCCCTTCCTCAGGGCTTGGAAACTATGCAGATTAGGGAATAGATATGCCCTTACTCTGCAAAGTCTTTCTTCTTTTTTTTCTTTTCTGAAGTGATTTTGTCTGTCATTGGCAGGAAGCACATTTTGCTCCATCCTTTGGGTGATGTGGGACTTGTAAAGCTCAGTAAGCTTACTAGTATTAAAGCAGTTGAAGACTCAGTTGCCTCAGAAGCCACTTACAACAATGAATGTTTTTTTACACCCCACAACTCTTCTTGTTTACATGCTGGGGGAAGCACAGTTCCAACTGTTTGTCCGCCCCGCTAGCATGTGAGCGTTGCAGGCCTCATAGAAGGAAGTACAGCATGAGCTTTACTCCCTCTGCACAGAAAACAAGAAGATTTGCGGTATGTGGAAAAGGGCGTTCATTACAAGAGGAGGCTTTTGAGGCAACAACAGGGGTCTTCAACTGCTGTTACACCAGTAAGATGACTGTGCCTGGAGTTGGGTTTTAAGTGTAACCCTTATAATTGCAGAGAACTAATGATGATAATTGTATTTTTCATGAATTCCCATAATCGTTTTCTCAAGGCCACCTAAAGTGTCAGGTGATGCCGAACATTTACCACTCTCTACTTTGCTTCCAGGAGAAGGAGTCTACAGAGGATTATAATGTGGCTTGTATCCTTACCTTGCCACCTTACCAAAGAAGAGGATATGGAAAACTGCTTATAGAATTCAGTAAGTAGCCCACAACATTTTATGTTTTACTCCATTGCTTTTTGACTTAATCTGAAATGTACTTTTCCATTCCTTACCTCTGGCAGGTTATGAATTGTCTAAGGTAGAGGGAAAGACGGGCACTCCAGAGAAGCCACTCTCAGATTTGGGTCTTCTATCGTACCGTAGCTACTGGTCTCAGACAATCTTGGAAATTCTCATGGAACTGAAGACTGAGACGGGAGAGAGGCCGCAGATCACTATTAAGTAAGATGTAATGATTAACATTACCGTACCCAAGTGATAAGCCATAGAGCAACCTGCACAGGTACCAAAATCACCTTCATGAGAAATAATTGTGTAAATGTACTAAGACAGACTTCTCTATTTCTAGTGAAATTAGTGAGATAACCAGCATAAAGAAGGAAGATGTAATATCTACACTGCAGTACCTAAATCTCATCAATTATTACAAGGTAAATATCCACAGATTTTATGTATCTAATGTACCTTCATTGCTAAATCTATTTCAGTAGTCTGGTAGCCCTGTAAAACCCAGATGTCCAATGTACAGCCCTCAGGGCTCCTGCAGACAGTAGTCTGTGTTTTGGTGCCTGCTTAAGCCAGTGAAGGACAGATATTATTTAGACTGGCTTCTAGTTCCTTTTTTCTGCGCTGGCCGGTCCTTTTCTTTTCCTCTGATCTGTAATAATGGGTATTGCTGAGACTGCAGACATGCATTCTACAGGAGATGGTCATTTTTAAGGGTGTTGTAGGGAACACAGATGTGGAATCATTTATTTGTAGAGGCTGTAGTAGCAGTGATGTGTAGCGGTTACACGTAAGCTGTCCCCAGTCCATAATTGTCTTCTGCAGCATGTCCCTAGTCTCCCAACAACTCATATAGCACGTTTGCACTCTCTGACCATCTCTTGTTGCATGTCTGCAGTCTCTGACAGCTTTCTTTAGCACTAGATTTACTGAATATTTGTGCGCGGCCCTTTCGTGATGTCAGGGCTGCACTTGAGGCCCCCTATATCATGTAAGTTGACCACCGTTGATGTAAAATATAATGTGGTGCTTAGCCTTAGTTTGGCCTTTCCAAGTGATGCAAGTGCAAGCACTTGATGGCACCTTAGGAATGCCCAATGACTTTTACATTGAACATTTGTGTACCCATACTGGTTATAATGGAGGCTGTATTGTAACACATTTCTTAGTTTGGCAGTATTTCTCAGTGACTAGAGTTGTTGTCTCTTCCAGGGTCAGTACATCCTCACACTCTCAGAAGACATTGTGGAAGGTCACGAAAGAGCTATGCTAAAAAGGGTTCTCAGGATAGACTCCAAATGTCTGCACTTTACTCCTAAGGACTGGAGCAAAAGAGGGAAATGGTAGGGAGATACAAGAACTTGAAAATTGGAAGAACCGGAAATGTTAACCTGTTGTATGACGCGTAAGACTTTCAAGCCTGAATGCCAAGAACTTTTGACCAAGTGTATTTTTCCACTTCAATCAAACAGAGCTGACAAGCAGCTGTCTTTTCATGGAGGTCATATGGCTGAATACTGTCTTTTGGATTATTGGCTGATAAACGCGTGCCACTGATTTCAAGGTGTGAGTGGTCCCTTGAGCTGGAACTACATATACAAGAGGTGCTTGAGATGCAGAGTAAAAGTAAAAAGCAACTACTTGGACAACTATGGAATAAGCCGATCTCCCTTACAACAGATCTTTATAGACTTCTTAGCTGTAGGCTTTATTTAAATGACCATCAATACACACTAAAATGGCCAGCTCCATCAGCGTGGCATTTGCTGGATATCTGTTACAACTGAAAAAGAAATTGCTTTACTCACACATTTTTTATACAGATTGCCACTGAAGGTGCCTGCAGACATGGAGAGCTCTTAGATGTTCAAGCATGATTCAGCCACCCTCAGGCAAAACTGCTTTCAGACTGCTGTGTTTGTGGATGGGAGAGGAAAGAGGTGCAAAGCAACATATAGCAGCAGATAACCTTCAGCAGCTTTTCAAATCTATGTGATTGATAGTATCCTTCACAACATGGTCACCCAGAGCTGTCTGGACACACAATGGGATGGCTGGCCATATTCGCTGAAAGCAGTGAAATGGGAAGATACTCGTGTCTATTGACAGCTTCCCCCTCATGTGATTGAGGTAAAAATGGGTTTATATATTGAAAGTGCAAAGTGCATTAATTTCAGACTTCAGTAAACTGAAAGCTGCTTGTTATTGCTTAATGGTCTTTGCGCTGCTTAATCGAATAAGCTCAAAAGTGCTTTGTAGAACAAAAACTATTAAAAACATTTATTGTGAATGTTTTTCACAAGGGAAATGCTGCAACTGTACGAGGGGCCAGTGTCACTTGCAGATCTAAATGGACTTTTTGCTTTTGTAAATACAAGGGTTGTTTCTTTTGTGTCTAAAGAAACTTTTAAAAACAATGTGGACTTCTTTGTATGGTTAATTTATAAAACAGTAACAACAGATAAAAAGTATCTTCTGCAGTAAAAGTCCATATTTATTTTACTCTGAATCCTATGAATTATTGAAGAAGCATCATGAGCTGTACACAAAGTTGTCACCCCGGTTTACATGATTGTTTAAGAAAGAAATGTTTATTAACTGGGTGCTAGTCAAGATTCTAGGACTTCAATTCAGCTGCTGCTAAAACTGGAAATATACAGAGGTTTTATTAATGGCTGGGTGCCCCTTTATTACAATTCAGAATTTGGGGATAGAGATTTGCCACCATGATCAACCTCAAACCAGATAACGTCACTGGAACCCTACAAAGTGCTCACTTATTTATTACCATGTCATAGTTCACCTCATTTTCTGTGTTAAATGGGTAAAACCATCACTGTGTGCTCCACAAGAGCATCAATAGAGAACGGCATATTTAATGTGCATTATTTATCAGATAACAGAATAAAACAGTAAAATGACAATGTCACAGCTGAAGGTGCTGGATGACTAAAAGTGCACCTAAACCTTGTCTGCAGTAATCTAAGCATTGGGTTCTCTTGACAGCAGACACCGCTAGGAGTGAATTATTACCTTCCTGTACTCCCGTGTCACAATTCATCAAAACCCTGCTGATTCTGGGTATTGGGGACATGCAGCTTACCCGTCTCGCCACAATACCATGCCCAGTGCCTAAGCTGTTAATTGCTAGGGAAGCTTACAAAAGTTTCAGATTGTTGAAACCTGCATAGGAATTTTTAGGAGCTGCAGCTTGAGGAGTTCAGGAGAAGGTATTACCTCCTTTGGAGCAAATCTGTTACTTTAACCTTTCTGGCAAATTACAGGTTAACTTTAAAATTGTACACAATTTTGTATTTCAGGTCTCGTGTTTATTCAAATTATTGCTGCAACTTTCAGTGCAATAGAAATGCATATCGCACTCAAATAATGTTTGCAGTCTATAGGTCACCTTTTTGATGCATCAGCCATCGTGCAGGGAAGGGGTGTGGAATGAACAATACATCAGTACAACATTAACAAAAGTACACCAGAAAATCAGGATTACAAGTACATCAGTGACTTTCTTGCAGATATGTAAATAGATATGGGATTATTCTAAAATATACAATATTGTAATATTTCATGGGGAGGAGTGTTTAATTAGATTACATTGAAATATCCATTAATGGATAATATTGTCACTAGACCTGACTACACTGAGTGAGACCAACCTGTTGTACCTGACATGACACGGCTATTAGTATAAAAGTCATTATGCCACTTTAGTCTCTTAAACTGACACATGCAGCTATAATGGAGGCCTTCACCAGTAATCCAACGTATGTAAGGCTGCACTCACCAGCCAGGACGTCGATGTAAAAAAAGTTTACTCCCAGGAAAGGTAAATTGCATAATCCCCATCCCATGGTTTAAGCCATAGAGCACGTCTAGAAGAATTAATAAGTGTGCAGAAAGCTTCATGGGAAAGGACTCTAAGATCTGGTCTCTCGGTGTACCTGCCATAAGGTTACATAGTTACACCTTTGAGCCAACCAAAAATCAAGATTTCTAGCGACACGTGGTTGCCAAAGCGGGGTTAAGGCTACATAAGGTTGAACCCCAGACTCTCCTGAGGAGTGTCTCCATTTTTCTATCCATGGCATCTTTTAGGGTACCCATGTCTTCAAATGTGAGAACAGATTTCTTTGCTATAGGGGCGTCCAACTTAGGAACCTTGTTCCATACTTGCTGACGGGTTATCATTAAAACGGAACCTTCTTTTAAGTGAACTAGAGAAAAAGGTTTTCCTTTCTGGATCTGCCCACTCCTTTAACAGTCTCAGACAGTGTCTTATGGACTGGAAAAAGTCTTGTTTTTCTTCAAACCTTGGTACATGAGATCATGTCTAGACAAAGAGACTTTTTCCTCCTGTATGTCTAAGGTCATAAATTGCCTGTAGACAGTCATCCTCATCCTCCAGGGATAATTTATATTTAGAGCCCCCAGAAACCTCAGCCTGGCTCTCCTCCTCCTGGGAAGATAATGGGTTTGAGGAGCTTCACTGAGCTCTTCAGGTTCGGAAGTTTTACTAGACATAACCTCCTTGGATAGGGGTAAACAGCTGGAAGACATAGGCACAGAGGGAGTACGGGAGTGCTCATGTTTTCCCATAATGACTGAAATGTAGAAGAAAGCTCTAAACAGTAGAAAGGAGGCTGATAGTAATTTAGCAGATTCTTATTTTAGAAGACCATCTATGCAGGCTTAGCATAAAGGTTTTGGGTATAAAGCTCCTAATCTTGAACCACAAACATTTTTTTTGTTGGGCAGAATTTTGCTCTTATCTCTATTTTTCATTTGTTGATCCATTTTATTGGATTTTAGCATAAAGACAATCAGAAGGCAGGAAAAAAACATAAGAGCCCAATCTGTAGACCAGGGGTAGGCAACCTCGGCACCCCTGCTGTGGTGAAACTACAAATCCCATGCTGCATCTGGGAGTCATGTCTGTGGCTGTCAGTCTTGCAATGACTCATGGGACTTGTAGTTCCACAACAGCTGGAGTGCCGAGGTTGCCTACCCCTGCTGTAGACTAAAAGATTTACAAAAAAATCCACTGTGCCTAACTCACAACAGACACTCAACACCACAGGGGCCTCTGGTGAGAAATATGCAGACTACATAGACCACTGGCTAAGTATCAACATAAAAAGATGTACTGTTACCTGGGCAGAAATGGTGCTGCGTGTGCATGGATCCATCCTCACCGACTGACTCCAGAACGGCATCTTCACAGCCCCTGCTGAGGAAAGTTGCACCCATATTCACCATTTTGGCTTCTCCCCTGCGTCGCGTCACTGCACCTGATCAAGTGGACGGAATCCACCTCCGACTCTGCAGCCACCAGACAGTCTACAGCACAAGCGGCTCTCCGCAAATGCAGGTAAGATTTCAGCAGGGAAACACTGATAGCTGCGGGAAGAGGGGAGCATGATCCAAACACAAAGGGGAAAACGTACCTCCAGTATTGGCCTTCACTAGGCACTGAAGGGGAGGGGGGTAAAACCGAGGTGATATGCCTCCTCCGCCTGAGGAAACACAAAAAACTGAAGACTAAAGAAGGCAGCCGTTTATTTGAATTGGGTGATGTGTTTCTTGTTCGATGGGAGGAGCATATACAGTATCTCAGAGGCTGTTCTGAAACACGTCTGGAGAAATTATTATTTTTATTTTTTTTTACAAAACTACCTTTTAACTGTTTCTTTGGGGAAGGCCTTTGTGCAGATTTCAGGCTATTCGGAGCAGTTTAAACATAACCCTTTGTTTAGAGAGACAATGTCCAGATCTAGTTTACAACTGATAATGAAATCTGCCAGTACAGTACAGAAAGGGTTAATTAGAGTAAACATAACTTCCCACAGCCGCCACCTTAACATTGCATAGAGGAGAAGGTAGGAATTGTAAGCAAGTAAAAGGCAAAATTGTTTAAAGTTCTGCAATATGAATGGAAAATGGAACAAATATAAAATTGTTGTTTTCTCAGTTTGGCTGAAAAAGTAGAAATGTACTTTAACCGCTTGCCATCCGCCCATTGTCACAACACAGGCGGACTTCGGATGCTTCCCGGCAGGTGGACGTGCCTGTACATAATTTTGTTTGTGCTTGCGCCCGCTAGAATCCTGACGGGCATGTAAACAGCCGTTAGAAAATGTTGAATTTTTAGGCTTCAGGCCTAATAAAACCTTCATACAAAAATGAAGAAAGCCTGCGTTGCGAGTCACAAAAATATGCACACCATGTATACATGATCGCTGCACCTCTTTACACCCCCTTCCTGGCCCGGCCATTTTTCAGTGTTCAGCGCTGCGGTACTTTGACTGACATTTATTCCGTCATGCAACAGTGTACTGAAATTAATTGTATAACATTTTTTTGGGGACACATAGAGCTTTCTTTTGGTGGTATTTAATCACCACTGCAGGTTTTTTGTTTTACTGTATAATAAAAAAAGTACCGAAAATTTTGAAAAAAAACCTGTTCTCCCTACATTGTTATAAAACATTTATTATTACCCAATTTTTGGGTAAAATATAAAAGATGGGGTCACGTCGGGGTAAATAGGCACCAAACATGTCAAGCTTTAAAATTGCGCCCACCCGTTAAATCGCAAAAAACTACCATACTCAAAATTGACCACAGCCGACGCTTTAAAAGCTTTTACCGCTCATCAGTTGTAACATGTGCGGCGCAATGGATGTAATCAGCGTTTTCGCACGTAGGCGGGCTTGACGCATGTTTGTGGGGCGGGGGACTTTCATTTTTTTTTTAATTGCTTTGATATGTGATTTTTAATTTTTTT